CACTGCAGGGGAGAGCCCAGGAGTGTCAGTGCAGGCCAAATCCATGAAAAGTCTGAATAGAGCAAATCCTGTGCTTCTGAGGTGGCCTCGCTGCAGAGCGGGATCCCCGGGCCGTGGACAGCAGAGGGAGCCGGAGCCCCACGGCAGCGGCCCGAGCTGGGCTGGGTCCTGCCCGGGAGTCTCCCGTGGAACAGAGAAGTTGCTGGCAGAAAGCACATCGCCAGCAACTGCATCTCCTCCTACTTCATGTGGACATGACTGAAATAAACTTCCATACCAGGGCTCTGGTAAAGCTACCTTGCAGATTCATATGGTATAACTTAAGTCAATAATGACAAAAAGTGGCATTAATCTGAATATTGAGTCATGCAGTAGTCTGGGCTGTCAGTCAGGTTCAGATGCAAACCGACTGCAAAGCGCTGTGTCAAACATGGGCTGGTATGATCATGAAATGATGAACTACACAGCAATGAATGCTGCGGGCAAGAACTGCTTTCCCTGTATTGAACTATAAGCATCAAGGAATTTCAGCGTGTCAAGGCCAACAAAGCTGTTTTAAAGGTTAATTTATTCCATTTGGTCACCTTTTATACTAGGTTCAGTCTTGTTCAACCTCACTAGAGCTAAATGCCTAATCAGAATAAATAATTCCTTCAAATAGTCTAGCTGTAAGGCTAAGATCTGCCTCCAGTGTATAAGGCAGTAGCTACCTGTGTCACTACAACTTACAAGCTCCTAGAGCTGTGCAGGGTTTGCTCTTTCCCTCCAAACACAGTATTAGCACTGATTGCCATTGCTCAGATAAAACTGGGTCAGAAGATAACTGCTGTTTCATTTTTGGATGGTGACTGATAGTCCTCACCCTTTTGGTCTTTGAAACTGCAGACCTTTGTAAGATGGAGAAACAAAATTATTCTTTCCTGACAGGCACATGACCCTCCTTGGCTGCTTTGCTAACCTTGAGGGAATGTAGGACAAAGGAGACAAGAGTGTTCCCAAACCCTCCCTGCTCCTCAGCTGGGGATGCTGATCCATGTGCCATCCTTCTCACGGGACTGGCATGGATGGGCTGTGGTGAGTCACGTGTGTGCAAAGAAAAATGATGGCCACAGCTCCGCGGTCACATTCCTGACTCCAGATGTGCCTCTTCCTCTGTGCCCTTCAGGTTTACTCCTCAGTGCCCAGCAGAGTACAAGTGCCCAGCTATAAGGACACCTGCGGGTGAGTTACAGCCCAGCTCTCCCCATCGCAGAGGGGGTACAAAGCTGCAGCAGGGCAGCGAGGTGTTTGTAGGACCCATGGTGCTGGCTGGCCCATGAGAGATGAGGCTACATGCAGCTGAGCCAAACTGGGATTCTCACAGTTCTTGGAGGTTTTTCCTCCCATTGACCAGGCAGGGTGAATGTTCAAAGCGGTGGTAACATCCTGACCCTACTGCAGCCTTCACTGAAGACTTCTATCCCTCTCTGGCAAGACTGAGAGGAACACAGAGAACACCAATGTCTGAGCCTTGTCCCGGAGCAGCATGAGGGACACTGTCCTCCCTGGTGCAACTGCTTCCTCTGCTGGCAGGCAGTTCCTTCCCAGTACATTAATGCACCTGTTAAACCTTTACAAATGGAGCTTGCTTTGCCAACACTGGAAGGCTGAGGGGAGGTAAGGTGTGGGTGCTGCTTGTAGTGCTGAGCAGCACCTCCAGCAGTGAGCACAGAGTGACTGTGTTCTTCAGTCATATTGTACAGATCAATATATTGAATTTGATAGAAGCTGCCTCCTTGGTAGAAGTATCTTTCAAATGCAGACATCTACATTTGCAGCTGAAACAATCTCTTGATAGCTGGGTGGTCTCCCTGCTCCTGGGTAGCCAGGGCACTGCCAGCATAGCAGGGTATTTTGCAGCACTTGCTCCTTTCACATGTGGCTTTTGGTCTGGCAACTGCTACAGCCCCTAACACAGTCACATTGATTGCTGGTATCAAATATACTGGGAACTTGCTCAGATTTTCTTGATGGATTTTTTGTAATCAAGCCCATCTCGTCATCAATTTGGTTTTATCAATTTTATTGTCCATAGGGCAGAGCTGCTTGTGGGCAGGTATAACTCTGGTGATATTGAAGTAGCTTTGGAGCATGAATCAAAGGGAAGAAGAGACCCTGGGTATGAAGAAGCTTCTGTTCATCCTACTAAAATCTTAACATTGTTTGGTAACAAAATACTTAATGAACTTTTATTTAAAGAAACATCTCTGTGAAATGAAAACAATAAAAAGCTGCTGATGGCTTAATAGCTTAAGTGTAGCTGGGGCATTCAATCAATCTGAAAAGCAATTTATTGTGAGCATATTTCTAAATGGTGGAGGTTATTGCTATGATACATCTAACCATAATGGCAATGGGAAAAAATGTATCCTCTCTTGAGGGCTGTGAAAGGGTGCAGTGACCAGTTTGTTAGATTCCCTGCTGAGTTCACAGTGCCTGTGCTTTATAGCTGAGTACAACTAAAGCAAAGAACTGACTAATTTATCAAAAAAAGATGTCTTGGAAACAAACTTAGGCCTAATGTGGGTACAGGACAGGAGAAGGCAAGTCCTGGATGCTCTGCTACTAGAACCTGGGTGCTGCTGTCTCCCATCCTCCCTGCAGCAGAACTGCGTGGAAGCAAACACTCCTCACTGCAGGGCACCTTCCGTGATGCTTACAGGCATTGCCAGCCTTGTCTCCTGAGGAAGCAAGGTACAGGCAACCAAGTGGACTTGTTGGTCTAATATTCCATTTTTGCCTAGAGCAAAAATAATTTGAAACCAGTAGCAAATTCTAACCCACTTTGGTGGCAGCCTAGATGTGAGGTTCCTGTAATTGATGTGAAAATTTGCAGGTGGGCAGTGGAGAAAATTTATTTGTGTAGGTGGTGGTAGGAGGGGAGAAGACAGCCTGTAGCTGTTCTTTGCTTGCCCAGGAGCAGCTGCTTGCCTGGGGAGCAGGTACGCCAGCCTCCAGTGCTCTGCAAACAGCCTTGAATGGATCCATAAGAAAACGAAACTGGGTGCCTGGAGCTGGCAGTGCTGCCCTGGGAGGGAAAGGGACAGTGGGGGAGAGCTGAGCCCCTTTCAGGAGCTGAGGATACCAGGGTGTTCCTGGGGAGAGGCACTGGGATACCTTGCAGGAGCACCTCATAGGGAGCAAAGCTGCACTAGCCCTGCTGCCAGTGGAACTGCTCCCTTGCTTTGGTTTCACTACCTGCTGCTGCATACAGCCCTGCCTGCTATCTGTGAACACCTGAAAACTCATTTGCATCTACAGATATAACCTTTCTTCAGCTACAGATTAAAATGATGAGTTGAAATAAATGTGGAGAGATACTTCCTTGTTTGTTTTCAATTCTGATTTATTTAAGTGTAGAGCTACTCCTTAACCCTATGGTATGTAAATCTGGCCTTCACCTTGACAGATAGCTCTAGTACATGTGAAAGTGGTTCACTTTAACTTGGCTATCTCTAATTACACTACAGTTATTTTGTCAATTGTTTTGTAACTATCAAAATCCATCTGCTGTGTCTATCTTCAGTTGCCTCTGGGAACTACTATAATCAGGCTGATCAAGCCACTTGCTGGCAGGAAAAATGTATCTTCACAAGTACTAGAAATAAGTAATATTTCAGCAAAACAGACTGTAAGAATAACCACAGGATCAGCCTGGGAGCTCACCTGGCCCAGCAGCAGAGGATGCCTGAGGAAAAGACGACACAGTGCAGAAGTGCAGTGCTGCTTGGCCATGCTCTGCTCCCAGGCCAGGCTCAGACACCCTCAGCCAGGACACTGGTAATACATTATGACAAAACATGCCACAGCTTAACTGTATCAGAATCCACTACCTTGTGTTTTGAATAAGGCATTGCCAGGCTAATTTGATGTTTCTTGGTAGAAATCAAGGTCTCTTCATCCCTTTGCTGACCTGAAGAGTCCCAGTCTGCGTTAGCTGGTCCTTGACTGTGAAGTCCTCTCACTCCCTTTAGATCTAATTCTTGTTCTATCATGTCCTTCTGTGATGGTGACACCAAAAAAAACATGCAATATCCAAAATGGAAGCAATTGTGGCACGATGGCATAGCAATGCCTTGTAGTTTTTCCTCTCTTCTTATTTGATTTGCCTTTTTGTCTGTGACTGAGCACTGACAACATTTTATTAGAACTATTTATTGTAGCCTCAAATCAAGTTTCCAAGTTGGGAATGGTCAGATACCATGGGCTTTTACAGTTGGAGATATTTACCCAGGTACCTCATTTAACATTTACTTTTATTGGCCATTTTGTTATTCAGCTGCTTGGTACCATGAGGTCCTCCCAATTCTTCCCTGTCTGCTCTCCACTTTACTATCCTGGGTAACTTAGCATCATCAGAAAATTTTCACAAAAAGTGAAGCATAGTTCAAAGAAAAGAAAAAGAAGCTGTGACTGCCTGAAAGATCTAGGGCAATTCACACCTGTCTGAATCTCCTTTTGACCTGTATTATTTGGACCAAATTGCTAGAGGAAATAATCGAACATTTGTGTTTCCCTGGTCCATACATCACTGCCATTGGTTGTTTCTGATGTGCAAAAAGTGTTGCAGTCCTACAGAGAACATTTTGTCTGATTAACCTAAGGGCAAAGCACTTCAGATGGAGCTCTAAGCGCCATTTAGTTTTTAAATAAGTTCTCACAGAGCTCTGCATGCATGTGCTTTTACCTATTGATTAAATAGGAAATACTCTGTTCTTTAAAACAATGTACAGGTTTTTTTCAGTGCCTGAAGGATTATAGAAATATTTGTGTGTGTAACAGCAGTTTAATATAACTATTGAGACAACAGTGGTATCCACGAACTTGCTTTTTTGTATTCCTTTATCTTTGTTTCTAGTTAATCAACAAGGAGAGCTGAATTGCTCCACAGGGGCTGGCTCTGGGTAAAGCAGCCCATTAGCAGTGGGCTCACCCGAAGGCAGGCTCACTGGGCTGGCAGCTCCAGGGCCGTTCCCCATCCAGGAGCAAGTCACACAAACAACTGTGCTGCCCAGACTGCATTCCCCTATTCCCAAGGGAACGTCCTCTCTGCTTCAACTGATTCCTGTCTCTGACAGAGGTGACTGATGTATGTGGGATTTTCTGGCTTTGAGAGCCATCTACAGAAAGTACATATTGATTGGATCATCCTGGAACAGGTGGGTGGGATAAGCTTATTACCATCTTTACTTTCTATAACATAGCAAAGCTTTTATCAGTCAATGGCCTTATCTAAAAAACTTCAGGCAAACTTCAAAATAAGGTACTTGAAGAACTTGCTGCCAGCAAAAGTAACAGTGTTTGAACTAATGAGCCCTTCTGAATAAAACAGTGCATTTCTTTCCAAAATGAGTAGAAATTAAAACATTGGGCTCTTTCGGCAGCTACCCGGTTAAGTGTTATAGTATCTACTGAAATGTGGTTGCTGCTGAGCCAGATTCACATTCATGGGCACCATGGCATCTCTAATTACTGCTCAGCAGTGAAGAAGCCTGCAGGGCAGCAGCTACTAGTGGAGGGCTCTGTGAAGAGCCATACCAGCAGTTGTGCTGGGCATTGAGTGCTGTTATTTCAGTTGCCCTCTGCGTGGAGTCTGAAAAAAAGGGAAGGGGTCCTGGAGCAGAAAGGAAGGAGGAGATAGAATGAATGTGCTTGCAGGTCAGGGCATGGTGTGCTCTCTGGTTGGCCCCAGATGTGGTGCTCTCTTTGGCACAGTGAGCCCACCATGCACAGTCCTTCGAGCAATTGATGAGAACTCATCAGTTCTTCTCTAATCCAATGTTGTTGTTAAAACAGACAGACCCAGTGGGGGGAAGTAGTCATGTACAGCAACAAAAGCCTCGATAGAAAAGGGATTAAAATTAACTTTTAAAACAACTATATCTCTTGACTGTATCCCCTGATGCAACTGTTTTAAATGTTAATTCTTGTCCCCTTTTTATAATTTCCTAGACCTCCTTTAGCATGGAAACCCTGAGAATCTATTTCCATCTCCAACCTGTGCAGTAGCAAACAGAAAATTTTAATATGAGTTAAACTGAAAACCTGTAACACAATGTCAGATCTGTGATCCTTCTAGCTCTGGATGGGGGTGACTCCAAGCTTCAAAAGAGAGAGTAAGAAGCTGTAAAGGAGGTAGGTGTAAAGGTGTATGTCAGTGTGGGCCTCAAGAGTTGCATGAACTCTCTTTAGACCATCCAGTGTTGTAGCAGACCACATTGTGACCTGAGTGACCCCAAATTTGATAATCTCTGTGACTCTGTCATCCTACAGCACCGTTAATTCCTCAAGGGGAGAGCTGCAGGATGTGGCTGCGTCAGGAACACTGTTATTCTCCTTTGTCATCATCCAGAACATGTTATCTCACCTCTCACTTGGAATTACACCTCCCTTATCGGCTGCCAAAACAAAAAGCTACCGATGGATGTGCACAGAAGTAGCTTTATGCTAATTATTTAATTACAGCTAATGACTGTTTGGTGTGTGTATTAGCATATGTCAGTGCTTCTCATAGTTTATTTGAATAGGCTATACAGGTGAGGCAGTGAGAGGGAAAGTGCTGTTTGGCTTTGCAGGCTGTGCTGGTGGGTGCACCTGAGTGCATGGCTGTGCCACAGGACTCCCCGAGCAGGGGAAGTGCCTTCTCCCACCGGCAGCCGCTGTAACCCGGGCGAGCAGGGCAGGGGGGCTGGCAGAACGTGGCTGATGTAGGGACCCCTCCTGCAGGCCTAGGAAATAGTAAACAGGAGGATTAAAGCCTTTCAAAGATAGAATAGGTTCTGCTTTCATAATATTTTTCTTTTCAGCCTCCACAAGAGTTGGCACAGCTCAGTGTGCTACAAAGCACCCTTTTTTCCCCTTGCTCAGAACATCTTTAATTAATTCTTGGCAGGACTATCTAACTCTGCACGTAGATAGGAATAAACTCCAGCAAAGCAGGGGCCTCCTGCAAGGCCACTCACCTGGGTCGCTCCGCTCCAGGACTTTTTGCGAGTACAGAGACTATCCCTGCATGATACTCCTGTGGCTGACAAGTGGATGTGGTAGAGCAAAGGCACCAACATCTGGACCCACACACAGAGCTGGAAAATGCGGGTATCTAGAATAAAGAGAGATAAATGACTTTTTAGACCATAAAGACAACTGAAAACTCCCAGCTGACAGAGTAGATCAGATCATTGCAGCATGAATGTGAGTAGCGAGGTCTGCACTGGCATTTCTGTAGCTCCTTTCCAGAATGGAGCCATCTCGAAACAGCTGACAGGTTTGGCAACACAACCCGAATGGCCATGTCTTCTAGGAGCATGGAAATCCCCACATCTCCCCATGAGTTGCAGAGTACTTTCTGCTACACCTTCATCCTTGGCCACACCTGCTGCTATCAGGAGTTCTGGGCTAAAAAAAAAAAAACAAACCCCAAAAAAAAAAAAAAAAAAAAAACAAAAAAAAAAAAAAAAAAAAAAAAAAAACAAAACAATCAAGATGTATGTGTTGATTGACTATTCCCCAAACTCTGTCTCCCCTCCAGGGTTTCTCCAAGTGCTGGATCTGTTCAGCAACCTGCACAGATTGGACCCAAAGCACCTGCTTGGCATTGGGAGAGGAATCTTTCCAGGACACCAGTATAATGTGAAAATGCATTTCAATGCACCTTATCTTTGAAGGCTGTAGTACCTGCACCATCACCATGGCTGAGGTCACTGGGGACCTACTACTTTGCTTAATGCAAGCCAATTGATTTCAGGGGGCACTTGGTGCCTATGTACACTTTAAGATCTAGATTTTAAGGATCCCAAGTAGGAACATAAATCAGTGTCAAGTGTTTGTGGTTTTTGTGACTCAGATGGTGAGGGAACTCAATATCCTCTTAGCAATTTGTTCAACATATCTAAAAATCTATTTTTCTGAAGGGGCAGAAAGAAAGAAAATCAGGAGGGCAGCAAAAGGTAATAAGCACTGAATTTGCTTCTGGATTTTCTCCCTGTGTCTTCAAAATACAAAAATGTTATTGCCAAAGTTGGTTCTGATTTCCTCTCAGAAACTGTCTACTGTCTCTTCCATGGACAGTGCTGAAACAGAATGCAAATGTGAGCAGTTAAAATACCTCTACTTGAAGGTGACAAAATTAGATTGGTGCAGTAACTTGGTGACGTTTCTCTCCTTTTCCCCTCCACCCTTCCCTAAGCAGCGCTGTTATTTTACAGCAACAGAAATCCTCTCAGAGTTTTTTAACTGACTCAGAGCTACAGACCTTTACTACTGCAAGAAGAAAGCAGAGAGAGAGAGGTAATTTCTAAAGTGAAATTAAATTAACCACAAAATAAAACATTTCCAAAGACACTTAATTTCATGTTAGTTCAGAGGAGCCTTTTGGATTTGTCATCTAAAAATAAAATATCAGTACAGGCTTCAGGACTGTGGTTCTTTTAATACTCTGTTGCAGTTCAGAAACTGTAAGGAAATGTAATTGGAACTTCTAAAGCCTAAATTAATAATTAGAATCTGGTTTGGAACATATTTTTCTAATAAAAGAAGAACTAATAGACTTTGCGTAATTATTAATCTCTTGTAATAATCCTCAACTGTGCAGATTATTTTTCAGAAACACAAGCAGTATCTTGCAGAAATCATGACATTTACTGGCTTATTTTTCTTCTGTATGCTGATCAACATGCTAACAGGTAAGATAACTGTTGAATTTATTCTTGTTTGTTTTTTCAAGCAGCCAGAAATATTTTGTTACTAATACGGTATCTTCTATTTAGCATCAGGTTTCGCACATACATTAATTGCAACTGCCCTGGCTGTTAGTTAAGAGCATTTGGTTTGTAGCACTGAGTGACTGCAAACAGGGAATTCCTTATTCAGCTGTTCAAGAAACAAAAAAAAAAAAAGTTTGGCTATACAGAAGGCCCTACGTGTGCATTAAAGAACTTGCCAGCTTCTGGCTATGCAGCAAACCTTTTATCAACAGAAAGTCCTTCTGTGTGGGACCTGGTACTGATGAGTTTCCTCTCTATTTACAGATGCCCGATCAATCCAGGATGGAGATGGTAATTCTTAATGCGTTTTTCTTTCCTTTGTATCACTAACGATTAGAAGAGTCATTTGTAAACCCCAGACCTGATCCCCAGCAGTGATTTTGGCAGGAACGCTTACTAACCTCAGTGAGCTATGGAATTGCTTTCATCTAGTTCTGGTGGAGAAAGAAGAGTGAATTCTTAGAAATTTCTTTAGAATTTATTAGAAGCTGACATATTAATGTCTAATAAGAAAGCTAATATACTTGCAGTCTTAAAATGAAAAGGGGTTATGGTCAAGTCACTAATTCTGTTCTACAAAATTGTAACTGGAAAGCACCAGACATAAACATATTAGACATCTGAGAATTTTGTCTGTCCTGAACAGTAACACTGTATGTGTGTCTGGTTATTGGCAAGAAATACTGACTTACATGACAAAAAGCTTAAAATTTACAAATTGCCACAAATCAAATTAAAGAAATGTTGGAATAAATCCCTTAGCACAGCTACCCTGTGGTTTGTGTCACTTTGTGTGATTAGTCCATTGGATTAGTGTTTGCCTTTGATTAAAAAAACCCTCAACAACCTAATGATGTTTACACTCACTTACTGATGGTTATATCAGTTAACTCTCTGGTGTTTTCAGACATAATTCTTTCTGAAAACGAAATTGCATAGACATATCTGCAATAACAAGCTACTGCTAATGATGGTGTACATCTCGGTTAGTATAACCAGCAGGATAGCCAGCAGCATCCTGAGTGCACAGATACAAATATGAAGGGAGAGTATTAAAACAGATATGGAAAGAAGGAATATATGTATATAGAAAAGGGCTAATATAATTACTTTTAGTTCAAAAAATTTTTTCCTATGCTCCACTATATTTCCTTATAACTCTAAAATCTTTTGAATGCATCATCTGTGTTTTCACAAGCTTAAGGGCACTATTATATTTGTGCACAGCAAGTATTTCTGCGGCAACATCTTTGACAGTCAGGAGAGTTTGTGTCAATCTAAGAATAAAACCTCGTTCAGGCAGTATCCTGTTGCTCTCATTACCAACAATTATGGTTTTCTTTCACACTGGGCCAAGCAGCAGACTGCAAAGTGAATTTAAGGTCAGTTGGTATAAACAGTGAATCTTCCTCTGAAGACAACATTTGGCTGGTTCATTTGATTCGTTATACGCCATCTGTGCCTGCATGCTGCAAACTTTACTCTGTAAAATTAGGGTCTGACAATAGGATTGTTGAAGGCTCTTAATTCCCACTAAGGACCCTGATCCCAAGCTGAGCCTGGTGAGTGAAATGGCTCCCATTTATTTAAATGGGCTTTAAATCAAATCCAAATACTGCTGTTTAGCTTTGCTGCACAGAAAAACATTTGTAACTATGTAGTCTCAGCTAATGTTTACATTTTATATATGCTTCTGTGTTTGTCCAGATTTGGGCACAAGGGTGATCAGCTCCTGCATTTTCAGAATTGATTTTGTTTTAATTTTCCTGCTGAATTTTAAATCTCGTTTCAACGAGTATTTCATGTTTTCTCGGACACTCCTAGAGCAGGCAGAAATGCAGCAGCTGTCTTCCAAGCGGCAATGCCTTGCCTGTTTCCTACGGCCCGCTGAGAAGAGGCACAACTCTGCGGTCCCAGGCAATGTTGGGGCAGCATGGACCCGGTGCTGGGGAGCCTGGGGTGGATCCTGCACCCCCGTTTCTGCTGTCCTCAGCTGAGCTCCCTTTGTGCTGAGATGGAGGGGGAGCATCTGCATGGCCCTTTCCCCTGGCTCCACTGCCAGGAGCCTGCGGGCAGAGGCAGGAGGTTGCAGGGGCACGGCATAGATGATGGCACCTTATACCTTTTAGTTTTATTCTGGGCAGAGGAAATGGTGTGAAATGAGGAAAACCAGCTTTCAATTGCAATTGCTCCTTGCTTTTAAATAACCAGCAGCCTTCTAGAAATTAAAGCAGCCCGAGGAATTCTTGAGTTGCTCCGAGAGCTGACGGTATCCCCTCATTCCCGCTCTCCACCTTGTCCCACTCTGTTATTGGTGGTGCCACCAGGGCGGAGAACACCAGCTTCATCTTCTGCAGTGCAGGGCAGAGCGGGTTCAATGGCCCTGCCGGCCCCTCTCCTGCCAGCGCAGCCCACAAGCCCTGCGAGGGAGCCTACGACCCCAGACCACGTTGGCTCCCACACCCGAGCTTTCAACAAAAAATGCTTCGTATTATAGTAATCTGCAATGTTTTTATTTATCTTTAGATCCCTACCAGGAATCTGTAGCCTTGCCGTACTGGCCCTTCTCATCCAATGATTTCTGGTCCTACGTTGAATATTTCCGGACCCTGGGAGCGTACAACAGGATCGATGAAATGGCCAGAACCTTCTTTGCCCAGTTCCCTTTTGGGAGTCACCTTGGCTACCATGTGCCCAACCATGAGCACTAACTGCTTCGCTCGTTTTTGCTAAAGCCAGTGCCAGGATGTTTAAGTGAATACACACGGCTGTCAGCGAATGCACCTGAACTGTCCCTCAGCCACTGATTAATACTCATAGCAGCCACGTGTAGCATTTTATGCTTTGAATTATTCTTTTCTTTTTTATAATTTATGCTTTTGTGCGAAATCAATAAACTCCTCGATGCTGTTTGGGGAGGTTTGGGTTTTTGTTTGGTTTTTTTTTTGTTGTTTTGTTTTTTTTTCACACGTAACGCTTGCAGACTTGACTCAGGAAACCGCCCTCTGTGTGCATACTAGCAAATACCAGCTCACCCCGTTTAGTGGCTGGCAGGGCCGCCAATATAACTCGCAGACGCACCCCGTGTAGGCTGACGGTGCCCGCGCCGCTCCCCTGGCCGGCCCTGCGCCATTTTCCTCCCCTCCGGCCCGCGCCCGGCCCCGCCGTCGCCATGGCGACAAGGGCGGGGTGGCAAAATGGCGGAGCGCCGCTCTCCTCGCCATGGCAACGGTGGGGCCCGCCCCCCCGGGGCAACCATAGAGAGGCGTCACCGCCAAGCGCCCAAAGTGGCGCCCCGCCGGCCGGTTTCGTAGCGGAAGCAGGCGCCGCGCGGCCGGAAGCGGTGGGGCCGAGCGGAGCCGCCGCCATGAAGCCGGCGGTGGATGAGATGTTCCCCGAGGGCGCCGGCCCGTACGTGGATCTGGATGAGGTGAGGGGTAAGGGGGTGAGCTGCCGGCGGGGGTGGCGGGGGCCGCGCTGCCCGGCTGCGCTCAGCGCCTTTTTCCTAGGCAGGGGGAAGCACGGGGCTGCTGATGGACCTGGCCGCCAACGAGAAAGCAGTGCACGCCGACTTTTTTAACGGTAAGGGCCGCCGCGCCCCGGGCGCGGGGGCGTTTGGGGGGGCAGGGGGTCATCGTGGCGCCCGGCGGGGGCGGTGGTGCCTTGGGCCTGCCAGGTGGCAGCTGCAGAAACTGAAGATGATCAAAACAAACCTCGCTTGGTTTCTCTCCAATCTCACGTCTTTGGCGCCTGGAGGCGCTCAGGTTCTCACCAACCACGCTTCGAGGGAGTGGGGCGCCGTTAGAGTGCTTCAGCGTTACGCGATGCAGGTGGGGGGTGATACAATGCGTGTTTCTCCTCTCCCGGGGGTTTTAGGCAATTTAGCACGTTAATCACCACGAGAAAAAATGCCTCGGTGTGTTTGCATAGCAAATAGCTTATGTTAAGCAGTGTAAATACATAAAAAAATGAGGACAGAACTTCACAGAATTGTTTCTGGGTGTTACTATTCTATAGATAATTCTGTAATCTCTTAAGGTATGCATGCATATTTATTCAAAGTAAAACAAACCTTTTTTTTAATATGCCTTCTGCATTTGAAAGTCAACTGTATGCATATAAGTGTATGTATCTGCTTTTAGAGAGGAGAGCTGCTGTGTATCTAGCCACCTAGGGATAGTGTATACAGCGCTTTGCATTTGGTTACTAAGATTGTTTTTTTTATCCTTCTTAAGAAATACATTTAGACATTTCAGCAGGGAATTTCAGATATGTTATTAAATCTGGTTCCTATGGTGGCGCTGATGTCACAAACAGATGTGCTGAAATAAAGTAAGTTCCTCATGTTGCTCAAGACTTGGAATACAGAAGAAAAAGGAACTTCAGCTTTGATACACTCTCAACAGTTGTGAGGGACCTAGCTCTTTGTTGAAGCCAGCATATTCAGCAGTAGATATTTCCATAAAGTTTTACCATCAAGTTGTGGTATAATATTCCGTTGGTAGTTTAGGACACTTCTAAAGGAGGATTAATCCTTGGTTTGTTGTATGACATGTGTGTGTTGCCTTCTGTAAGAATAAAGACTTGCTTTCAGTTATGTTGTTGGTTTATGTTCAATATGCAAAGAAGATACAAAGGCGAGTAGTTAAGAGTACTTGCTAGAGATGACTAGAACAGCTGTGATTAGCTGGCCACACTTCACTAGGCTGAGTGAGATGAGTTTTCTGAGAGAAATGTTACTAGCACCTTCACAGCAATGAAGTGGTTTTTTAAGGAAGGGATTTTTCATAGCAAACCACAAACGCAAATGTCAATCTGCAAAATTTAGAACTGTGTACCTGGATACTATGACCTAAAGCCAGAATTCTGCAGGAGTGTCTACATCTGAGCTTTGCTGCACGCATAAAACCAGTACTGGTTTAGTTCTGGAGTCCGGGAGTCATGGTTGATCCACTCTGAATGTGATGGCCATGTAATGCATTTATATAAGTCCCTCCTTTGAAGCTTCACTCTGCTTTCATTAATTTAATTCCAAAACTTCTGTTGTACATGTGAAGCAGTTTAATTTGCGTGTGATAGAGAACATATAGGTGGGTCTCCCTGCCATTCTTCTCTGTCTCTTCCTACCCTGATGTTACATTTCTAGTAACTGATAGTGCAGTAACTCTCATTCACTTAATTAATCTTTATTTCTGCCTTTAATCCGAATAATAAAGAACTGTACCTGAGTATGTGCATATGTAACAGTTGAAACTTTTAACGTTAATTTTAACTTATCTTATTTTTCTAACTAGATTTTGAAGATCTCTTTGATGATGATGACATCCAATGAACTTAAGTGACCAGCTAAGCAGTGCTGAGATGTGGATTTTTCTCTAGGATCGCCTGTGGTGTCCATTATTTATTAAAATAATCAAAACAGGAAAATCACAGAGGGGGGGAAAAACCCTGTATAAGCTGCTTGGGGAATATGAAAGCCACATGGTTAAAGACAACTAAGGAGGGAATTGTAGGCTGTTATTTCTAGGAAGCTGTGTGTAGATTTTTCTTAAAATTTTACTTGCTGATGTGCTCATTCAATAAAATACTAAAGAAACCCCACCTCTCTCTTGGATATACTTTGAAAATAGATATTGCTGTGTTCTGAGCTCCCTTAGAGAATGAAATTTTTATTATTAAATCATTCACTGTTACCTTTGGATATTATATAGAGATACATAGCATGACATATTGCTGCCTGGAAAAGTTTTGTTTATCCCACAATATAGGATTATCTGGGGCTAAGACAGTTGCTTGATCTGAATAGTCTGACTCATTTGCCAGTCAGACTGAGAGTGTGCGTGGTCTCCTGTTTCAAGATAGATACTCAGCTACCATCAGTACTTTTAGGAAACCAGAATAAAAAGTAGTAATTTTATCTTGATTTTTTTTTTTTCAAGTAGAGAAACATTCTGGCCCTGGCCTATGGGAATGCTTTGATCTAAAAAAAAAACTAAATTCTTGAAATTGTACTCTATAGAAAGAAAATAATTTTAGGATTATTTTCTCCTGCTGCAGCAGAAGTGTAATTATTTGTACTTACAGGCATAGTGTATGTGAATCAGTCTGTTAAATTATTCCTTCAGATTTTGACAAAAGTTTTCAAAACATTTTTAGAAATGTTTGATTTTGCACCCTTCAGTCACCAAAGTGAATCTCAGAATGAAAGGAACCAGGTGAGTTTTTTTAGTGTATTATTTCAGAGTGAAGAGTTTAATCTTGTCTGATCTTAAGTGCAGTCTGTGTTCCCCAAATTGATCACAAAAATAGTACTGTGACTGATCATTTTTTAAAGACTTCACACTACTTAAATTTCACATGGAGTGAAATCCTTTCCTCTCATACTTCATGTTTTGGGGTTTTTTGGGGGTTTACCTTAAAGGAAATGTTAAATATAACAGTAAGTATGCTGGCCCTCGAGCTTAGAAATGTAAGCACAATAAAACCAGTAGCGCTTGGGTGATTTTTGCATTGTGTGCCTATGGATTTCTCAACACCCTCTGTTTCATCATGCAGTGTATGTTAAATCAGCATCCTGACATTTACTCTGCCTAGTGTCTGACATTGCAGTGTGTCCCTGAAGGAACAGTCTTGCTGAGGCAGTCTCCCTTTTAGTGCTCATTTTGGTTAAAGAGGCAGGGGTTGCAGACATTCCTCATTGAAACCGATGTAAACATTTTGCCTGAGTGGTAGTGACTGCGTTTGGACTGTTACGAGCTTTGGTGGTGTGCTTTCTCCAAACTAGAATTTGAGAAATGAGCTGCTGCCAGTAAATGGAGGCTGCATTCTGGGCAGGTGCAAAAGATGAAAAAAGTTTAAAGAAGCAACTCTCCTCTGTGCTTCTAGCTACTCCCTTTTGCTGATGCCTAGATTACTCAAGATGGTCACCTTGGGTTTTGAATACTTCCTTGTCCATGTTTTGTACTGGTTTCTCCTTTGTTGTTCATTTGCCTTCCTTAAGTTGTAAGAAACTTGAGCCTTAAGTTTGATCACAGCAGCAGGAGTAAATTCTGAGATACAGATCCATCTTCAACAGTTCCTCTTTGGTGTGAACAGTGTTTGCATTTTAGAGAAGGCCAAAACCTCAGCGAAGTGTTGATTTGAAGGTGCTAATGGTGATTCGTTCTAGTTCTGTAATGTCATCTCACTTGAGGAAAACATGGAACCTATCTTCATGAAGCTGGATAGAGGGCAAATAGTGCTCGTGAGTCCAGCACAGCCTAGAAGCCAAGAGTTTTCATCCTGGCAGGATATAGCTACCCATTCAAGGTAGCTATGGCTAACACCTTTATGTGAAGCTTTCTAGGATCTGTGTTTCATGTTAAAAAACAACATAAATAGTACTGCTGGCACCTGGGAAATACAGTATGCCTGTCTGTAGGGAAGGAGCTTACTCTGTGTGGTGTGTAGAAGTGTTAGAGTTAGTAAATTTCCTTACAAAGGAAGCTGTTGAATTTCAAGAATTCCCTTGGTGTGCAGCTGATGCCACTCTGGCTGTACTGTGAGTACTAGGTGGTTCTTTGCTGTTCCCAGATGCTAATGTGCTAATTAGGCTTGCAATTAAATCTGGAGGGGGTTTGTTCTTGGTATGAAGTGAAATGAAAGGAACGTTCTTCAGAGTTGGAAAAGGTACATAGGTTGTAGCTGTCTGGAGTTCTCTCCTTTGCAATGAGACTAGGTGAGGAGTGTGTATATAGCTTCATCTTTCTGAAGAGGGCTGTCAGTGTGTAAGAGCTTTTGTCAGGAACTATAATTTGTTTGGGTCCCTTTAGGGACTGTATTAATATAAAAAGGCTTGTACAAAGAACAAATTGCCCTTCAGCTCCGCATTGTTTCTGTGTTATCATTTGTGAAGCCTTTCAGTGTAATTAGTCTGTGTGCAATCAGCCTGTTGTTAGGGAATAATCACAAGATGTCAAAAGCTCTAATAAAAGTTTATTTAAATGGAATTATGGCATTTGTCCGCATTGGTCATTTCATTTACTGACCTTTGATTACTGTGTGTTTTGTGAAGTTTGACACGACTCATAATAGGTGTTTCTGAGTGAAAGAACAGGCCTGTTCTAGCAACATTTTGCACACATTTAGACAGATGTATATTACTATATAAGCTTCTGCGTATGAATTAGTATTTCAGTGGCCAAATAAAGGCTGTATTCAATAGATTTATGGAGGTAGAGAGGCCAGTGTCCTGAATTGTCCCACTGACTTCAGTGGGACAGCTGGCAATGTATGAAGCTGACCTTCTGCCTGAGTCTTGGCAGGATGAGGTCCCAAGTGCTAAAATGCTTTAGAAGGGGTGTAGCCAGTTGTGCAGCACAGATGAAAAGGAATAGCTTCAAAACACTTAAATGTCAGCCCGTTCCCTTTGATACTCTCACAGGGCCGATTCTCTGTTTGCAGGAAACAGCTAGCTGTCAAAGGATATTCTTAGGAATTAAGAATGCGATGTTTTGAGCTGAAAATAATCAAGTCATTGTGAGGGAGAGAAAGTTACTGTGCTAAGGGGAGCTGGTTGGCATCTGTGCATAATATTTCTGCAGTGCTTCTTCTGAGCTGGCCACCAGGGTAGCAGGAGAACCCGGTGTTCTGCTGCTGCTCTTGTGAGCAAGAACAGGCAAGCTCAGACCTAATGTGGTAGTGCTGCATTTTCTTTGGTTATTTTGGGTTTCTTCTTAGTTAACTTCCAGGGAATTAAAATAAAAGGTTTTCCTTTTGATACTTCAATAATTGAAGTGGAAGGTATTTTTCTCAATAAAGAAGGAATTGATTTAGATGAATAAATGGAGTTCTTCCTGCTTCCCCAGGGTGTTTGGAATCTGGCAGGCATCTTCCTGCTCTCAATGTGCAGTTGTGGAGCACATGAAAGCCTGCTGGGCAGATGACAGTGCAGCCCTGTTCTCTGCAAGTCTCCCTGTCGGTGATGGGGCTGGAATGCCAGCGTCACATCAGGGCTCTTTTGGAAGAGCACTAGCACAATACAAGTCAGTCCTTGGCAGCAGGGGTGGCTTTGAGGACAATGATTTGCTTCCATGTTTTTACTTCCAGATTTTTTTGTATATTTTTGTTTGTTTGTTTTTTTCAGTGTGCCTTATATTTTTTCCAGTTAGTCTTTGCCAAGCAGCAGGGTCATTACCCTGACCCTCATTATGACTTTTTTTCTCAAGCCACTACAGAGTTCAGAGCAGAGGGAGAGAGGAGCCTTGTCTTTAAAACTTTAAAAATTGGCAAACAGGGCCTTTTTGGTGAATAGTTCTTATTTATGGAAAAGTCAAATTGCATGTAGCAAATTCCCAGTTGGCCCTAATTTTAGCTGTGTTTGTACTGCTTGGTCTGTAACCGTGACATGTATGTACAAGCTCGTATGAACTCATGTAAAATTACGACCTCTTGAGAGAAAAGACCCTATTTTGTATATTGTGAATAAAAGACACAGAGCTGAAAATGTCATATGGGTGACTGAGTGAGGGAATACATATCAGCAAGGGAATGTGAGAAAGCATCCCTGGTACAGACGGGAGCTGCCCTGCACCAGGGCAGTCTCGGCGTCCCCCTGGCCCAGCTGAGGATGCTTTGGCGAGGACACTTGCGGAGGGGACTCTGTCCTTGGACAGTGACTGTCCCATCAGAGAGCTTCACAGTCAAAGTGTGCCCCAACTCCCAATAAAGCTGGCTGAGCAATGTGCTGCTGGGGTCTTCTGGTCTGCTGCTGCTTTGAAGTTGCCTCTGCAGTGCTGGGATGCAGGTACTGTGGTGTGGGAATCCCCCTTCTCTGTGTTTTACCTCATGCGGGCTGATAGATCCACGTTGGCCTTAAAATACTAACCAAAACACATTAAAGAACTAGGATGGCTTCTCTAGCAATCCCTGTCAAGGCAGTGGGGAAGCCGTGCTCTCCTGACTCCTTTGGGCAGAGTGCTATGTTTTCACAGATGCTCAGAGGACCGGAGGGAGCTGGGTGTGTTGGTTCATACCTCCTGTCCTTCCCTGCCTGACTCTAAGGGGTTCAGAGAGGGGCTTCAAGTGGAATGTCCTGCTCCACCTCTGTCTCGATAAAGCTGTTGTGCTTTATGGGTGGGATCCCAAAGCTTGCCTTGTGGGTGGGAATCCTCTGGTATGCCACGTGGGAAGAAACTGATGTTGACTTTTAATACTTCCATTTCATTGGGAATAAACCTTTCCTTCCCCTTGGATTGGCTGGAGAGCAACAAACTGCACCTGCCTGTAAGGAGGTCGCACAACCAGCCTCAAAGAGCAATGGTGTTACGCTGGGCTGGTCTCCTGGGATGTGTCTGAGAGCGAGTTTGCTGATTTACAGTCCCACGGCAGACTGAGTCTTTTCATCATGTACCTACATCTAGTACAAATGTCATAAAAACATGTGGCAGTTTTGCTCCCAGCCTGGGTACAGTTGGGATTGGTTTCCTCCAGAGTATTTTAAAGAGTAAACTTTAAATCTGATGGTAGTTCCTGCGTGGAAGTACAATGGCAGATTAGCTAAATGTAGGACTTCATCCTAATCCCTTTGCCACCTTCTATGCTGAAAAGCCTTTAGTGAGTTTACACTTCACAAATAAGTATAATACAAGTCTTGCAAGTGATTTATCTCTTTCTTGTAGCTCTTCATGGTTTAGTGCAGCTGCTATTTGTATTCCAATTAATTACTGACACAAGCAATTATGTGGGGTTGAGGCACAATTAGGATCAGCCTGTAATTGTGTTGAAAAGAGCCATGGATACTTTCACAGATTGTTTCCCTGCTGGATGAGACCGGCCAGTCTCTCCAGCTGTAACCGTGTCATTTCTCCCAAATTGTTAGTGCAGTGACTTAAATCTTTCATTGAGGAATGTTCTTGCTTTCTGCCTTCAAGAGATGATGCTGTCTTTCTCCGAGGGGAGAGAAGAGTCAAACACAGCTGTCGAGATCAAAGGAGCCGAGTGCTCTCTTTATAACCTGCCCTAATTACAAAGAGGCAAATAAGACCTTAGTCTTGGTGTCTTCATCATATTGGTTGCTATCTAATAGGAGCTGCTGGAATATTTATGTCCAGAGGCATCCCATTTGTGTGCCAGTAGCAGTACATTAATTTCTAAAGGGAAAAACACCCATTTAAACCTGCCACAGCTAGAGAGGCAGTAAATAGTGAGACCTAACTTTGTACTAGGTATCTATTGTCAGGATTGATTAAAAAAAAAAAATCCCAAACCACAAACAAACTAAACACATTTGTTGGAGAGCAGGTGATTCTGTGCCCTTTCAGTGTGTCAGTGTCATTCTTGGCTCTTTTGTTACAAGATAATTGTATGTTCAAAGCATTATGCAATCCTTGGGAGCCAGCCCCAGCCTTGGATATGTGCCTTTTTTAGCCAGGTTTTCCTTTTCCCATCCCACAGGTTTATGAAGCGTTGAGGGAGAGTAAAACCACAGCAACTCAGTGACGCAGAAAGGCTGGATTAATTAGGAGCTCCCTCAAGCTCGTCCCCCAGGACCTCATTATAATCCCAAACCCTATTTGGGGCTCTCCCCTAAAAGCAGCACAGGGCCAGCATGGTGCCCTGTGGGTCCCTGCCCTTGGGCTGCCACAGTCAGCCTGGCTGTGTGCCCCAGGCATGGCAGTGCCGGGGAGGTGGAGGTTTGCTATCCATACCACAGCCAGGGATTTGGGTGGTTCCTGGGCTATAAGAACTCCCCTGGGAGCTTGCGGGGGGGGGGGGGGAGGTCGGTAATTGTTGGCCACCCTGAGCTGCTGCTCCTGAAGCTTGTCAGCATGTTTTTGGTTTGTTGAGACCCCACATGCAGATACCTGCAGGGGCTGGGCAGCCTCGGGAGGCAGTAACCGAGGGGCTATGGGCAGCTTCAGGGCTCAACCCTGGCTGCAGTGGGGCAGAGGTGTGTGTGTTGGAAGGGGGGTGCTTCTATGCCTGCCCTGCCCTACCCTGTGTCTGGGCTTGCTTTGTTGATGGGGTGAGCCTTTGTAGGGAGCATTTGCCCTGGGGGAGAGCTGGGAGGGGGCTCATTGCTCTTCCTGGGGGTGCAAAGTGGCTTTCTAGGTGTGTGGTGGCTTAAACTGGGATTTGGTGCCAGCTAGGGAGGCGTGTGCGCCTCTAGCTGAGCTCTGTAGAGCAAGAATCTTAGAGAGATTTGAGGTGAAAGACTTCATAAAATAGTCCATATCCCTGAAGGGAGGGTTTTGACCCCTATTTCCATGCAGTGGAGGCTTACCTCGTTCGCTGTCTGCTGCCTGGGCTGCACTAACTGGGGAGCTGGGCTGTTTGCTGTTTCTTGAGGCGCTTGGGTTGGACAGGCCTGAGCGATACAGGTACCCTGTGTGGTGCATCAAGCGGGGAGCTGGGAAGAAGATGGTCTCTGCACTCACATCCTGGAGGGTGAGTATCATGCTGAAGCTGTGTTTCAGTATTTATGGCTGTGAGAAGAGGGAAAAGCCAGTGCACGGAACAGCGGCTTTCCTTCATACACAGAATGGCTTTCTTTAAAACTCCCCCCGAGTGCTTCGTCTTACTGGGTTTACAGGGGTTTCTTTCTTGATAAGACAGACAGCCTCAAAAGGGTGTGCTGTTCTCAAGCAGGAAACCTCTGCTTGACCAGGATTTTAGCCTGGGATTCAAATCCTGAAGTTTAAACCTTTAAAGTGTGATTGAAAATGTCCTGTAAAGGACAGAAGTCCCTACTGTGCTTTAGGAAGAGAGGAGCTGAGAGGAGACATCCCTCAGAGCTGCTTTGCTGCCCTCCTGCCCTGGGTTACTGCGTACACAAATACTCTTAAAGGCAGATCCTGCATGAACTGGACTGCCCACTCATTTATGCATCCTTGTTGCTTACAGAGGTGACAGTACTTGTGCTCATCATAGCATATATTTTACATATTAGTTGCCATGGTTGTGTTTGGAGTGTTGGGCAGGGTTTGGGAGAGGTTGCTTGCTCAACATATTTACATGCGAGACCCACTGCAAATTGAGGACCACGTGCTATGTCGTTCACCGGTGGGAGCACGTGGGGAGGAGCAGAAATGGGAGAGTGTGGGGTTGAGGCACAAGTGCTAATAAATCCTGGGTTCTGCCCTGGCCTAAAGCAGATAGAATTAGAGGTGTGTGGCAGTGTGAAAAGCCATGTCCAAGCCTCCGAGTCCTGGTGTACAAGCTAAAACTGTAAGCATATTTGTTCCTGCTGCATGGCAGGAAGGAAAGTATAATTTGTTTTGGCTTTCTCTTGGGAACTAGTCTTTAAATTAGTATTTCCTCTTAGTGTTTATCCCAAATGCCTCTTAGCACTTTGATTCTTTCAATTTTCCCTACCTTCAGAAAATCCATCTGAAAATATTTGAAAAAAAAACACTGCAAAAGCTCTGACTTGCTCCTTTCAGTTTAAGCCTCTTATGCCATTTGATCCAGCAACTGCTGCATTTTTAAATCTCTTTTTGTTTCTGGATTAGCTTTTTGGTTTGTTTTTTTCCTTTTTATTTTTTTTTCTTTTTTCTTCTTTTTTTTTTTTTTCTTTTCCCTGTTGTCTTCCCATTAATTCACACAATAGGAGCACGTTTTTTCCCAGTTCTCTGAATCCGACATGATCAGATCGAACATCAGTTTGGCCCTTGCTAAATCTAGCATGCTTGAAGCCTCCTGGGCCAGCGGAGGCCCCCTCTCTGGCTGGCCAGTCAGGGTGGATTCAGACACAGTGGCTTCAGGGAAACCGTCTGTAAACCAGAGCTCATCTTACCCGAAAGGAAGGTAAATACAGTGTGAGGGGATGAGATGCTGAAGCCTTGATGAAAGCTAGAGGGTGGGAAGTTTCTTGGGGAAGCAAAAGCAGGGTTTCCTTGTGTGTGTGAGCTCAGGGTACCCCCACTTTGCTGGGAAAAAAAACAAAACAAAACAAAACAAATATTTCCTGGGCTGCCTGGTAAAGCTAGGAGAATGTCCTTCTCTCCAAATCCTTCCCAATGACGCGTACAAAAATATGGAGCATTCTCATTGAGAGAGTTTATTGTTGTTATTATTTATAATGTGGTAATTCACTGGAGTGTAGAAAGTGCTGGTGTTGGAAGTAATTTCAGTTGAAGCTCTTAATGCTGTTTTTTGCTTGTAATAACGCAAAAGCTCTGATTTGTGTTAGCTTGTTCTGAAGCCTAATGAGAGTCGTCTTTGAACATATCTGAGAAACCATCAAATCCTCTTTTAGCTAAAAGTCAGGCAAGCTCTTTGGAGAGCAGTTTGATGGGATTGGTACTAATCCCAGCTGTAATACTCTTCCCCCATTAAGGTAACCTTGCCAAGAGCTGGGGCAGGTCCTGGGGGTGTTCAGCCCAGAAGCCCACGCAACACGGGAGGTTGCACCACTGCCTGAATCTCTGCCCAGCTGGTGTGCAAACCATTGCTTATGACACACTTATGGTATGAAAAAGTAGAAATACGGTTGCTAGATCTCAAATTCTGATAGCATGTGGGAGCTATTCAGAGGGGAGATGGGATAGGATCCTGCCATCTTGCAGATGGAAACTGTAAGATGCTGCTTGTGTGCCCAGTGCTGGTGGCCTCTGCACCGAACTAGTACTCGTGCCGTCATTTCCAGTGTCAGGTGAGTGACTTGGGAAGGGACACCTCCACCCTAAGGTCTCTGCCCAAGAGCCTTGGGAGACCTTCTGTTCCCCAGTCAGGCACAGTGTTTGAAGGGGAGCTGCTGGCACTTCTGAGCATCACAACTGTGGCCAACACATCTGTGATCACCTTGGGACCCCGAAGGTCAACAGGCCGCTTTTACTGTGTGGCCTCACCGGTGCTCATAAGGCTTTTCAGATACATCGAGAGAAGATCTCTGCCCTAAACAAGCACGCTGTCTGCATTAGAGATAACAATAGGGGATAAACTTAAAAGGAAAATCAAAGGATTAAAATCAATGGAAGTTAATAATGTGAAAATATTCAAAGATCTGGGCTAAAGAAGGGAGACAACAAACCATGGGTGGAAATCAAAGGCCCTAATAAGACCAGGAGTTACGATGGGAAAAAATGGAGCCATCTGTTCTGGTTGAAAACAAGAGCAGAGGTGGCTTTCACAAAGAGTCTTCTTCCTCTTCTACTCACATTTTAAAATGCTGGATAAAATTGGTTTAGATTACTGTAGGTGGTTGAAAAAGGGAAATGTAGAATGTGATATTCAAATGTAACTAATTTTTCTCTTACCATTTTTAAATTTTAAAAAAGGTCAGGCCATCTTGAGAGTTACTCTCTCATGGTGTGGCAGGAATGGTGTTTAACTTTGGGCCCAGGTTTCCACAAAGAGAGCAAGAGCAGAGGTAGGAGTGAACTCTTGGTCCCTAATGGAAGTCATTTATGTGTAACCTCACTGATTTCACAGGAGAGAGAGTCCACCCTTGGCAATCATTGCCCCCGCAAAAGGCAATTTTCTCGTAAATACAGTATAGCTATAGCTCTAGTGCCCCAGGACTCCGTCCAGGGTTAAGCCACCTCATCCCTTCCCATGCAGCACCCCCTGCTTTAATGGATGTCTGGGTCTGGGTACAGCAGGAAACCCATGAAAGTGGAATCATTGATATTGTCGGCATAGACGCCGTTGTTGTCCCCCTCCCCATACACCTGAAGCCAGACCTCGTCCCCAGTGCTGAGGTGCAGCAAGACAGAGCCGCTTGCTTGGTCCACGTTGTTCTTCTGGAATTGGTCATAGGTGAAGATCACTGCCTTGTCCTTCTTGTAGAGGCTGACCTTGACGTCCGTCAGGTAGACTGTCAGGTGGTAGGCGAAGTAGTACGTGCCGGGGATGTTGCAGAGGAACTTGCCGGTGCTGGCGTCGTAGTGGCTCTGCTCATTGTAGAAGATCTTGCTGAAGCGGATGGGGACATTGGGGTGGGGGGCTCGCTCTGTCAGCCCCACGCTGAAGGCAGAGCGGTAGACAAAGGCATCTTCACCCTTCTCCCCCTTCTGCCCTGGGTATCCTGGAAATCCTCGTGGCCCTTCCCGCCCTGGGGCTCCTATTTCACCTTGGTTGCCTTTGGGACCTTGTGTACCTGGGGGACAGAGTGGAGACAGGGAGCTGTGTTTGCACTGTGCTGGCAGCTGCTCCGTATCCGCCTCAAACACAGAGGGGGCTGTGGCACTCGGGTCTGCTCAGCAGCACTGAGCAAAGGCTGGATGGCCTCACACCCACCCATGAGCTCAGCCAGTGAGTGGAAAGCCCGCTCACCCCCCAGCTGTGTGCAGAGCTGCCGAGAGAAGCAGGTCTGCAAAAACATCATTAATTGGAAAAGCAACCATCAGACCAAACTCTTTGACTTGGGTTGTGGAATCTCTATCCCTGGAGATATTCAAAAGCCATCTGGACAAAGATCAGGCACAGACCCACCAAACAGGAGACCTGCCAGGGCTGGGCCTGAGGGCTGGGGCTGCCCACAGGCTCCAGGACTGATGTACCCCTTGTTCCTCACCAACCTTCCTCTCCTTTCTCTCCCTTTAGTCCGTCTTTTCCATCTTTCCCATCCCGGCCAGGGAGCCCGTTGTGGCCAGGGTAGCCAGGCGCTCCTCCCATCCAGTTGGCACATGGTGTTTTGGGGTCAGGCTGGGCATCCTGGGCAGCCACCTCTCTGCAATGGGGGGCTACCAGCAGCAGCGCGCAAAGGAGGAATCCTGCTGGGTCCCTCATCATCAGTTCCTGATGTGGACAATCATTTTGTTAACTTTAAGGGTTAATAGGAAAAAAAAAGTGAACAACCCCCGCACCCCTGAATAATTGAGAGGCACAGAAAACTAAGATTTGAGTCAACATATCCAAAGGAAAGAAATTCTGATCACCCCAAGGGCCTCCCCATATCCAGCTGGCTTCAGCTCCATGACCCAAGCTGGGATGGGGCCCCCGGGAGCAGCGTGGACCTCAGCCCGGGAGAAACATCCCGTCTGGAGACTAAACACCAGTTACTCCCCTGGCACTTGAAGGCTTTTAGCACCAGCACAGATGTAGCCTGGGACCAAGCACAGCAGATGCCAGGGTATCTGCAGCTGATTTCTTTGCAAACCTCTGCTCAGTTAGCCACCATACACTCTAACTTCTGCCTGGATGAGCGAGCAGCTGATTGAAACTACAGGTCTGGCAGAGCCCATCTCAAACCCTCAGAAGCCTTTAAGGTGAGCAGGTGGTTTACTGCCTGCTAACCTGGCTCTATCTAACATGAACAGAAACTACAGCCAGGCTTTCCATCTCCTCTGAGCAACCGTATGAAATTATGATACTGTTTGGGGGTTTTGTTGTTTTTTTTTGTTTGTTTGTTTGTTTTTTTTTTGTTTTGTTTTGTTTGTTTTTTGTTTTCTATCCAAATTATGTTTTTGGATTACGGGAAGACAAGTTGTGCAGTGTTTAGGCACTGTAGGGTCGTATTTCTCTTTGATCTAGTTGCTTTGCTAGTCTGAGCAATTAGTGTGGCTGTCCAGAACCAGGTCGGTGGTGACACCCTACGGCCAGCCTGGGGCTTTGTTCTGATGCTCGCAAAAAATCAGTGGGACCTTGGCAGGCTTTGGGTCAGGCTTTTAGGAAAAAGATATTTTAAAATTACTATTGTTCTGTGATACTACACACCAGGCAGAGATTATACCCTGGAACAATAAAGGTATCCTGTTATGAGGATTGTAAGTGGCATAATAGGCAATAAAAAGTGAATAACAGCATGGCCATTAGAGTCTCTTAGCTCTGTAATTTCCAAGAAAAATAGTATTTCAGAGCAACTCCTTTGCAGGGGTGATTTTCCTAGGCAAGCTATTTAAATGTCATATTTTAAATAATGTCTTATTAGGTCTCACATAATTGCTTCAGAGGAATCTAAATGAATGTGCTGGTTTTGGCTGGGGTAGAGTTAATTTTCTTCATAGTAGCTGTTATGGGGCTGTGTTTGGATTTGTGCTGAGAGCAGTGTTGATTACACAGGGATGTTTTAGCTATTGCTGAGTAGCACTTGCAGAGAGTCAAGGCCTTTTCTTTTCTCTCACCCCACCCCACCAGCGAGGGGGCTGGGGTTGCACAAGGAGTTGGGGGGGACACAGCCAGGACAGCTGACCCCAACTGACCCCAGGGACCTCTCAGACCTTATGGCGTCATGTTCAGCAGATAAAGGTGGGGGAAGGCGGGCAGGGGTGCCCCTGCTCAGGGACTGGCTGGGCATTGGTTGGTTGGTGGTGAGCAATTGTTTTCATTTGCATCACTTGTCTTTCTTGGGTTTTATTTCTCTCTCTTTATTTTTTTCCTTTCATTACAATTTATTATGATTATGATTATTATTATTTTATTTCAATTATCAAACTGTTCTTATCTCAACCCACGAGTTTTCTCACTTTGACCCTTCCAATTCTCTTCCCCCGGTCCCACTGGTGGAGGGGTGAGCAAGTGGCTGTGCGCTGCTTAGTTGCTGGCTGGAGTTAAACGACAATAACAAAGAGGTTGCCATGATTTTGTTTTTTGCAGGATATGAGGGGGAGGAATTTGAAGAAAACTTCAAAGCTCTGCTTAACGACTTAGGTGGGCAGTACCTAACACATGAAATTAGGGAACTCCTAAAATGGTGCCCGCACTGCTGGGTTCTGGAAATCCAGCAGCTGCGTGGCACCCTGTGATGGGGCCAGGGCAGTTTTGGGGTGCCATGGCGTGCTGTGAGCACGGCCTGAAGCTTAAGCAGTGCTCCTGCATCTCTGCTCTGGATGTAACAGTTGTCATTGAACCAGGGTGGACAAGGGAATCGGATGTCTGTAAATCCTAAAAGTGGCGTGGTTTGGCAAGCAAGGGTGTGCGAATTTGGGCACACTGTGACATGGCCAGTTTGCCATGCCCCACTGCAGGGCACTAAGCGGAGGGACCCCTGTCCCCCCTGCCTGCGTTCCCTCTTGCTCAGCTACATGTACGCACCCCTGCAAAATCAGCACAGGCTGTCTGGGGACATCTGTGTGAAAAAATGATAGCGTTCAATAATAATCTGCCTCAAAATTGTGTTTCTCGAGCTGTGTTTTGGTGGTTTTGCTAGGCTTACTTCCACTTTCTGCCTAGAACTCAAATATCATTAAAATTTTAGTGACACGTGCCCCAGAATCAGGTATTCTGCTGGTGCAAAATAAACCCCTCCTGTAAGGTCGAAAGTGGTGCAAATTTGAGGCAGCCCAAAGGAGGGCTGCAGGGAGCTTTCCTGGCAGATGCCCATCCAGCTTGCTCTGAAGGGCTCAAAGCGATGCCCATCCCACAGCATCCCTGGGCGGCTCTTGACTGTGGATACATTACACAAGCTAGTTTTCTCCTTTCTCATAAGAAAAGCGTTGTGGTATGACATAGAAAACCACTTATTTTTATATAGTTTGACTCGAGCACAGGTGGTTTGCTTTTTTGAGAAACGAAGTAATTCTCTGGCATAAGTATGTCTTACAAAAGGAAAGTTCTAAGCTATGTCTGCTAGCTTAAACTCTAGTATAGGTATGATATCCCTTTGCTATCTCTTTTCCATTTCTTTTTGTCTTCCCATCTGATGCTTATCAGTGTAACATGAAATAATCTGGTATATTTAAATGTCAGCTGTACCTCTCGGACAAGTAATAGATGAACTAAGTACTCTTGGTGGCTTTCAGCTATTCCCTTGGCAGTTACTATATTAAAAGCTCGTATGCATTCTATGAAGTGTATTCATTTACCAGCAGAAATCAGTGTATCATCTAAAAGAACAATGCCATTCTGAAGTGCTACACAGTGATTCAGACCATGATTCAGAATTTATATTTCACATAACACTATATAAATATGATATATTTATATAAATTTAAAACCCCCACATCTTTTTGCACAAAACAGAACAAAAAATCCATCTGTTTTCCAACTCCAGTGTTTTCTTCAAAGGATATTAACCAGGGGGTTGGCTTATGTTTATCTTTTTTTCTTTTTGTAATTACTTGTAGCATAGTTTTTGCCAATGTTCCAGCAGTGACTTGCTCCAAGGGGCTCGCGCCTTAAGTCTGGGTGGTGCAGGTTTCTGGTAAGGAGCTGACACGACTCAGGGAGATTTGGGGCAAACCCAATCTTCCCAGGAGTCTTCAAGGAAAGAGGTGAACCGAAAGGTGCCAGTTTAGTACTTGCTGTTACAGCCATGTGGTTTTTCACTGTTGTTCCTGACTACTTTTGATTTAGGAGTTTTGATCTCTAAATAGTGTTTCCAAAAATGTGAGTATGAATCTAAGGGAGATCAGCTATTCTTGGTTTAAAATACTTTCTGGCTATTCCGAGAATAACTCTAAGAAAGGAAACTTCTTGCAAGCAGAAAAGTCTGTCTGTCTGATTCAGCCCAATAGAAGAGAGAATCCTGAACTTAGTAAAAGGAAAAAAAAATCATGCTTACCAGCGGCTTTGAGTCCTGGTTGGCTTGCTGCAGTCTCCTTAGAAATGAAGTCCGGCTACCACATCGCTATCCCTAAGGGCATGGGGAGCTGTCAGCTCAGACACTGTATTTTCCATTTGCTATTGCGCATGCTGACCTAAAAGTTGGGTTTTCCCATTAATTTTTCCTGGCCACCCACTTAAGTTTTGGACCGCTTATATAATCCAGTCACACTAGGATGTCTTGCAAAGATAGCCTTAATGGGGAAAAGATGGGTTTGGGAATTTGATAGGAACTGAAGGAGCAGTGGTTTGCTGGAGAAGCCCATGTGGAAGCCTGCTCGTCCAGGGCTGAGCTGGTACAGCACAAGCAGCTGCTCTGTGTAAATTAGGAAATGTTGTTAGCAGCTGATGGAGAAAGTGCGTCTACAGCCTTGCATTAATGCACTCAAATGGGGCTTTTTCAACATGTTAGTAAATGAATTATTGTGTGAGAAGTTTTGGCTTCTCCTTTTAATGGCAAGAGCTGTTCCTGCCTGGAGGCTGCTACTGCACTAAAGAAGGGCAAAGCTGCCCAATGGGAAGGGCAGTGCTCGGCCAAGAGTTTTGTCTTAAGCCAACCAAGCATGTGCCAGCAGTACTGTAAATCATTGGAGTAATTTCAGCCCTATGGATGGCTTTCAAGCTACCACACATTTTGGCGTTAGGTCAAAACAAAGTCTTTTTTTCTCTGTGTCTCTCTCCTTCCAAAATGGAGGTTGAACGTTGGAGAGCGGAGGCTTTCCTCTCCAGCCGCTCTGGGGCAGTTCAAGGTTAGCTAGGCAGGACCTTGGCAAACCTGGGCTCACAAAATCAGACCAGGAAGAAAATAGTATGATGCCTGTTGTTGCAACTGGACATGAGGAGCTGGTGTCCCTGAGAGAGGGGGAACTCATCCAAGTGAATGTCAGCAGGACAGTATCCTGAATTAGTGAGCTGTTGTAAAGACTTGGCTATCTGGAAGGACTAAAAGGATGTATAAAAGAACACATAAATAATTTCCTGTATGCAGAGCTCGAAGTCAGCAAGGGTAAATTTGAAGTCCTGAGGGAAGGGTGCAGGAGGGAGGAGCTGCAGGGTGGCTTCTCACTGCCTGCCTTATTTTGGTCAAGCTTTTAGTGTTCAGCATTTGAAAATTTTGATTTTTTTTTTTTTTTTTTTTGTGTGATGGTTTTTCCATGCAATGTTGAGACTTAAAACAATCCCTCATGCAACCTCAATAAAATATGAGAGAGATCCAGTTGGATTTGTTGTTTTCTTATAAATATGATTTGCTAGAGCCATGTGTGTGTTTGTGTGCATGTTATGCCAGTTTCTGTTGAAGTCTTGTCTTCTGAGCAGTGAATGGAGGAGCAGGATCTTGGAACTGAAATAGGAACTTTTTTTGCAGTGGAGATGAGGTTTTCAGCTGCTTCTGCCCAGGATGTGAGCAAGACAAGGCTGATTTCCCTGCTGTCTCTCAGCTTGAGCCCCAAAATGCATGATTGGGGTATTTATTAGGTTGCCAGGATTTGAAAACTGCACCTGATGTGCTTAATAGGTAGTGCTGCAATTGCCTCACGGCTTTCAATTCAGTTGTTAGGGAAACACCACGGTGATAAATCTTTCAGTGGCCCATCAAACAGCCTCCCAGACATTATCCCTGCCTCTCAGAAGAGGGGTGGAAGTTTATCTCCGGGGGTACAACCTGCTGATACAACGCCTGATGCACTCGCTTGCACTTACGTTGTTTTTCACACTTGGTTTGCAGGTTGGTGCTGGCTCATGTTCCTGCTGCAGAGGGAGATATTGTACAATCCAATGAGCTACTTTTGGCTGTGTGATAGGAAAACATGCAAAATGCCTTTTGTTCTGCCTGGTGACAAGCAAAACCTGCCACCATGTGTGGACTGAAACAGCAGTGCCTGCAGCTGCGGTGCTCAACAGCTCCTGTTGGGGCTGGGGAGTCTTTCTGGCACAGGGAAAACTGCTGTCCACCAAGTCCTGCGATACCTTCTCTGCTTTGCACTGCAGTCACCAGATCTCTGGTGAGGGACACGCTGCCCTTACCTTACTCCGCTACAGACCTTGTGCTGAGCCTGACCTTGTTTTCTCTGTTGAATCTGATGCAAGTCTGCAAATATGAAAAACACAAAACTGACATGATGGATGGTGGATCGCAGCTTTCACTAAGAATTGAAAATAAGCAGAAAGTTATATTTAGCCATCTATAAACAGGAATAAAAGCGAGCGGGAGGTTCGTTATCAGCTGTGCTCCATCAGCGCAGTCACGCTGCCCGCTGGTGTGATTAGAGGGCTAAAAAGCCGTTTTGGCTGCAGGGAAGCCGGGCTGGTTGCCTCAGGAGGAGGTGGGTGGCTGCCCAGGCCAGCCTGGCCCCGTGGGCAGGATCCGCGCCATGGGGGCCGGGGAAGGAGCCCCCAGCTGCCCACCACTGTCCTCTTGCAGCGGAGTCGAGCCAATGCCACCATGGAGCCCAGCCCATGGGAACCCTCGTCCCCCGGTCGTCCCTTCCCGAGGCTGCTGTGCCCTCCCCAGCCCCGGGGCTGGGGCCCCTCTGCCGGGAGCTGCCCCCTGCCCTGCCCTGGCTCGATGTCCCTCCGGGACTCCTGGCCCTTCCCTCGCCTTTCCACTGGCCCTGGATACCGCACGTCCCAGTAACAACACACATTCCCCACTTTGCTAAAAACAGCAAAAGCTGTTTACGCCATTTAGCGGGCTGGCTGACAGGCTGTTACGTGCTATTTTGGTGCCGCCCAGGGCTGTGTGCAGTGGAGGGACCACAGCCTCCATGCCAGGGATGCTGCTGGCTCTGTCCCCGGGCACCACCGGCCGAGCCGGCTCACCCTTCTGCTGCAGCCCGACCGAGTCAGCTCATGTGGTCAGACAGACCCCGTGCCTGTCCCCGCCATTGCCCCACGGGCACCTTCATCGGGTGCAAGATGGCGGTGAGTGCTGAGGAGCCAAGTCCAGAGAAAAAGCAGTAAAATGGCGTTTAGTGCCAGTGCTCCTGTCAGCAAGGACCCTATCCACAAATTGCAAATTCTCCGCGATCCTGTGCATCATTGTGTGTCCAAACTCTTCTCTGTACTGCATTGTACTTCCCTCTAGTGGCTAATGATTAATGGGGAAGAGGAGCTTTCTCCCTGAGGGCAGGCTGGAGGGTGTCACCCTGGTCCTGCCTACCCTCGGGGGCTGCTCAGCCCCTTCTCCAGCAGCCGGGCCCCTGTGGGGTCCGCCATGCTGGTGGGTGCACCTTGTGCAAGCGTGGCATCGGGCTGCTGCGGCCATTCGCGTCCCCCCCACAGTGCCTGCGGGGAGGCCTGAGGGCCATCGGCACCGCATGTGGCGCAGCCACGCCTGTTACAAGCTCACGGACCTTGATACTCCCACAGGATTTTCCTAGGTGAGTGCAGGGAGGAAGCACAGGTCCGGGGGCAGGCAGACCTGACAGCAGTGAGCAGTGGCCAGGGGTGTGCCGCAGGCCGGGCCAGCCCTCAGGAGGGGACGAGGGCTTTGTGGGGAAGCCTAGCTGGGCTGGGCATGGTGAGTTGCTCACCCAAAGTGAGGGCCGTGTGGTGGAGGAGGCGGGAGTCCCATGGGTGCATGCCACAGCGGGGATGCTGTGCCAGCGTTTGGGGACCACCAGGAGCCAGCAGTGAGGAGGGGACGTGCCCCGCTCGGCCAGGTGAGGGGAGCCCTGGCCCTTCCTCAGCTGCACAGCCACCGGCCTGCCGGACGCAGTTGGCCTTTGCTCAGTGAATCCAGGCTGCTTCTCGGCAGCAGGGTGACTGATTTCTCAGCCCGTTTCACACAGACAAACGAGCTCTTTTCTTCCCTGCAACGGGCAGAACAGCTCCTTGCCAGGCTTGAGCAACAGCATGTTTCTCTTCTCCATGATCGCAAATAAACTTCCCCAGCCTCAAGGGATCCCTGCTTGGCTCCCAGCGAGGGATCTTGGCGCAGCAGGGTTTCTCATGCCGAAAGGGACATTGAGACGCATTTGTCCAGGAAGCAGGGCCCTGTAAATACTGCTCAAAGGTCCTTTTATTAATGTTATAGCTGTTCCCAGGGCACTCGTTTCTGCACTGCAAGTTCGGGGTGCTGCTTTGGCCTCCTTGGGCTGCGCCAGGGCAATGCAGCCAAGGGCCCATGTAGAGGGTTATGCACAACCCCATCCAGCTCCCCTCCGCTCTCACGCCAACTTGCAGCTGAGTCAGGTACGGGCTTCTTTTAGCACAGGCTGGTCTTGTTTTGGGGCTTGTTCTGGGCTGGGAAGAGGCCAGGCAGGGAACAGAATAACAACCTCAGTGATCTGGTATGTGGAGCACTCCCCTGCAATGTGCCCTGCCAAAACATCCTCCCCAGATTTCATTCCCAGCAGTGATCACATATTTCCAATGAGGCACCTGAGAGTGTACCTCTGCCCAGCTCTCCCCTTCAGCTTTGCTCCGCAGGCTGAGCTATTAATGAGGTATTTAATGAGATTTCTACTTACCCATTAAAATGAACATCTCGATGCAGGCAAGGAAGGAGAGCTTGCAGTGGATAATCACACAACCCCCTGCAGGCTACTTGCATTCATTGAAAAAGCATTTTTACAAAGTAGATAAATTATTTGTTAGGGGAGTATTTCTGAATAATTCAGGCATGGAGAAGGGCAGTTTCCTTTGCGCACACGAATCTCCTCATTATCGAAGTCAGTCAGGCCCCTCAGCTGTGAGGTTTGGACAATAGATGGTGCTAACCGCCCGAGCACCGCCGAGTCCGGGGGGGACTGGGGGCTGGTTTGCAGTGATCCCCCCCCAAAGAGCCATCAGGCTGGTGGGGAGCAGCAGGAGGGTGCGCTGTGGTTTCCTCTGGGTGTCTCAGACAGCCGGCGCGGCACCTGCCCTTGGTGGCACGGTCGGCAGAGATGCTCCTGCAGTCCCCATCCACTCGGTCCAGCCAGGCCCCTTCCCTTGCCGGTGTGTGGGCTGTGGGGTGGAAGCGAGCTGCAACCCCAGCCAGCTGAAAACAGAACAGAAGAGAAAAACTTTGGGGTTTGTTTGGGGCTTTGCAGCATTTGTGCGATGTGGTGGAAGTAATCCCAGCTCAACTACTACAGTCTACCTGATCTACATCACTCTTCCATCCTTTTTAGAGGGGTGTTTTCTTCCCAGTCCCCTGTTTTTCATCACTTTTGGTTGCTGAGGGACAGAAATGGCATCATCTCCTCCCCAGTCACCATCCCCATCACGGGAAATGTCTTTTCTTTCAGACCCTGTACCCACTGCTCTTGATTTGGGGTAACAGTGTTGCTGGGCTGTCTGGAGGAGCTGCACAAACCCTAAGAGTGTATTTGC